TCCATTAATCTGTTCATTAGGCTACATCAAAAATGGAACTACTTATTAAAATCAGATCCAGCTGTGTAGTCTCGTTAAAGACCAACATACCGTATGAAGCTTAACAATGCTTGTGGCACCAGACCAAGACCCCGCCATAAGAAAGGGGGGATTGTGGTACATTGGCCTGCTTTGACTCAACACACCATCATAATTGATGTATTCTTAGCAGGGGGGTATGAATAAACATTACTTTTTTTTCTTTTTTTACTGAAGCATCTGAATGCTTCATTTCCAATTAATTTACATTTGCGTAGATATGAGGCAATATGTGCTCTTAATCACTATGTTTTATTTTCTCACTTACCCCCCCAAGTCCTTTCTCATTCTCTCATTCCCTGTCTGGCAGTTCCATTCCCCCTCTCAACTGGGCTCTCCTTCTTCTAACTCTCTCTCTCTCTCTCTTTGGAAAAATCCCATTTATCTCAGCCAGTGGTTTTGAACAAAAGCTATGGGCTAAGCGATTGATCCAGGCATTGATCGCACTCGCCTAAAGAATCATAAAGGTGTTAAATTGGTTTCTTGGAGGATATGTATTTTTCATCACTGGCTGCAGCAAGTAGAAGTTCCTGCTTGGAATTTTACTTTCCCTCTATATTCATTATAAAAGTTAAAATGGATGCATAAATATTCAATAGATCATATCTTGAAAAGTAGCTCTAAATGTGGTTTTTGAGACCAGTTTGAAGCAATTTTGCAAGCGCATGTTAACTGCATGAAGTTTTGTTGCTAAACCCTTATTGTGTGCTGTGCTCCCTGGACAAGAGGATGGTGTTTTTTATACTCTTTTAGTAGAATCACTTCTAAAAATAAATTTTATTTGAGTGGTGGAAGTAAAATATCTAATGTGAACAAACTCTGATTCTGTGTTCATGTAAAACACATGAGATAAACCAAACGAAATAATGATTAGTATGTTTCAAAGCTCAAACATTACCTAAAAAGTACTCTGAAATTAGGGCCACCACTGTACCGGTAAAAAACAAAAACATCTTTCTTCTATACTAAGTTACATCTGTAATGTGGAATTCTAAAGCATTCAAAATTACTTTTATACTTACATTATTATTAAGAAAAATATTAGATATTTAGAAAAAAATATTCCTTGATATGGACTTAGAATTTGAGTTATAGTGGACAAAGCAAATGTAAGTCAGGGTTTATTAATATTTGTGAACAGTATGTATGTCTGCTATGGTACAAAAAAAATAATCTTCAACACATTATGTAACAAAATTGTCAATTTTTTTATTTTAAGATGTTTAAACAGACAGAAAGTGATATTTTTAGGTTAAAAAAAAAACATTAGACTTCCCAAGTAATTGTATTACATAGGAAACGGGGATCGAAGCATGCTTTTTCATGGTATATTTAGTATCTTTAGATGTTGTCTTACAAAAGTCAAAAGCAAAGTAGCAAAACAGGAAATATCTAAAATGGCAAAGCTAAAAAGAAGAACATTTAGCTTACCTTTATAAGAGATATACTTTGCTTTTACATAGGTTCTTACTGCATATTTAAAACACCTCATGGTTCCAGAAAAAGGTCATCTCCTTGTGTAATATTCCCAAAGTGAAGATACATGCTAATATAACATGTTATATTTTACTGGATGTGTAGACACACATTTGAAAAGTGAATAATACAGAATCTGACATCCTTTAAAAGTCGTAATTAATCTTTTTCATTAAAACAATTCATTTTGCTGAAAACAAATCATATAAATACTCTTATAAATTGTAACAGGGACAAAATATTTAAATGATTACTTCTGGTTATGATGTCAAGGTTGACATGACAGGATTCTGCACCAATAGGAAAATGATTCAAGCCACCTGAGACTGAGCTCAGGCATCAAAAGATGCGAGTGGCTCTTTAATGGCTCAGAGAATCTCTTTTTGACCTTATCAATATTGCATCCCTACATGTTCAGTTTTTTAGATTTATAATAGTTTTGTGTTCCATTGCTGATGACAATTAGAAGAGTTTTATCTTTGATAGATTTGTTTGCTCTAAATAGCTGAAACAGTTACATGCGGCTTTATCTAATATTTCCATGACTTTATGATAGGTGTTAAATAGTTATACATAAATGATCAATTTTATTGCTTCTCTGATGTTAGAGCCAATTTCTTGTTTGCATTTTCCAGTGTAATGACTTCATCAGCTTCTGGTGATAGCCAAGTGATCCATTCACCTTACTGTAAAAACAATCAGCCTTTTTTCTGTTTGCAAGATCAAGGCAAAACAGAGTTTGAGTCAATGTCACACCATGCATATTATCGTAGTGAGCAGACAGCATATCTTGTAAGAACAAGCTCCGTATGACAGAGCAAAGGAAGAGCTTGTCAGGGAAACAGCTTGTGATGCTGGTACTTAAAAGGTCAGGGAGCTCTAACCCTTGGTACTCCCTTACGCTTGTCTGTCTGTCACCTGTCCCCCTATTTTCCAAGCGAGTGTACGCTGCCCTTATCTAGCCTGCTGTCACCCATCCTCATCCCCTCTGAGCTGCCACCCTTTGATGACCCGAGCTTCTTGTCAGACAGGCGCTTCCAGGCAGGCACAGAGAGGACAGTTCTTTGAAGAGCACCCCGGCACTTGCCAGGCCGAATGACACGTGGCTGATTTCTTTGAAGAGCTTTGGCTTTATGTTTACCAATCCATCTACAGACACGCATAGTGTTTGCTTCCAGCATCCGTAGATGAAGTGACGATGAGAAGTGCCTGGTCTTTCACAGCTTTCCATGCCCTCTTATGGTTTTAATGAAGGCATTTGAATTTTCCTTTGGTCTTAAGCTCATGACACATATGGCGCAAAGCCACAGAAAATAGATGTATAGGCAGGCTAGTGACATGAGGAGTCCATCATCCAGTCAGCAGAAAGGTCACATTGGCTTTGTTCCTTTTCATTTATATTTTTATTCTTATTTTTACTTCGCTCAACTAATAAAAGATGAATAAAACATGTAAGATATCTGAGCCTAACAGCTTTCTAAATTTTTGCAAGGTTTTGTAACATAACATTAATGTGTAGATAATTCATATTAAATAATAATATATTTGAAATACAAGTATTGAAATATGACTATGCACTTAATTTAAAACTTTGTACATGTTGTATTTCCATAAATTGTCTCTAACAAACCCCTTGAGGCCTACATATATGTCTCCATATAGATCTTCTCTGAATGCTATAGGACTTTTGTGGCTCATACACTGTATACTTTTCATATTTTCAGTTTCTGTATAAGTTTTCTTTAAAATTATTAATGCCAATGATCAGTCAATGAATTCAAATAAAAGTGATGGTTAGCAATAGTTATAGCCCAATACACATGTGCTTGTAATGTAACAAATGTTGATTACTAACCCTTTTGCCTAAGCCACAGCACATATATTTTGCAGACAAATGTCATACCTGTTAAATTTAAGATATAACTTAGATTAACTATGAAAAAATATTTAGAGCCGATTAAATGTTTCTCTTTCTGCAGCTGAATTTGTTGCCCACTGTTTTGTCTTCCTAAAAGTTAAATAAACATTGTTGAACACTAACTCAAAATCAGTAGTCACAACAGTTCCAGTCAATAAAGAGAAAAAAAACAGACCAAATAATTTGAGTGTTTCAAATATTTTGGTTGTGCAAAGACTACATACATCAAAGGAAGGATTAAGGTCACTCGATTGTGCACTTTCTTAACTGCTTCAAAATACATTCCCTCGCTGGTGTTTCCACAGTGCAACTAACTGTGTCACAAAGTTACATCGATCCACATTCTTAAACCTGCAAGCGATGCACACGGGCAAAGACTGTCACAGAGTGTTCTCACAGAGTCAAAGCAGCAGTTCACATCCCACATCGCAGCCCACGATATTCCTAGTAACGTCAAAGGAGGATATGTTTGCTGATAGAGTGGGGGAAGTGCAGCACAAATGAATCTCACTTGTATTTTCCTCATTCATGTCCTCTAAAATGCCCCCTTTTTTTGTCTGTGTGTGGTAATGATTAACACCACTCTGCATGGGATGAAACTCTCTATTACAATGGAGTAGGTTGTTTTAGTTCTCAAAACACCAATTCACCTGTGTTAGCTTCCCAAGTTCGTCTGGCAGATTCCTGGCAGCCTGTGGCTGGTATTCGGGAAGATACTCTCCTCTCAATCATTATCATTGTTAGAATCATTTAGAAACTTCTGGCAATCGACAAACAGACAAAAACACCACCATTGTTGATTCAGGCACGTAGCAAAGCACTTAACTCACTGTGGAAAGGTTCACATGAGAAAGACTCAGCGAGGCTAGGGACTTTTTAAGGTTTGCATAAGGTTCTAGAAAAAAACACACACCTGATCAATAGCAATTGACCTGTGTGTAAGCTCACCCCAAATACAGCCGCTGTTGATAGTTTTTAAGCTACTAAGCCTGACATATTGTCACAGCTTGCAAACAAAGTTATACCTCCCACCCCAATCATAGATAGATAGATAGATAGATAGATAGATAGATAGATAGATAGATAGATAGATAGATAGATAGATAGATAGATAGATAGATAGATAGATAGATAGATAGATAGATAGATAGATAGATAGATAGATAGATAGATAGATAGATAGATAGATAGATAGATAGATAGATAGATAGATAGATAGATAGATAGATAGATAGAAATAGGTATACTGATCATGTATACTGAATGTTTTTCACTCAAGCATTTTATAGTATTTAGTTCAATCCTTCTTATTCTAAGCACACCCATGCACATCCCATCATTTACACTATTTAAGCAAGTCTGCATAAACTTGTCCCAGTAACGAGGGACAGTGACAGACATACATTCTGTGCCGATGACAGGTCTCTTACGGTGAATATGAGGCTTTGTCACACAAACACAGACTGTTGTTACAGCTGTATCGAACAGGAAAGGCAAACACATGACTTGATGATTTATCTTTATTCAGGTGGATGACCAGATGAAGCTGCTGCAGAACTGCTGGAGTGAACTCCTCATCCTCGACCACGTTTTCCGGCAGGTGGTACATGCCAAGGAGGGATCTATCCTCTTGGTTACAGGACAGCAGGTAAGTTAGTCAATCTCCCTTTGGAAACTCAGAACATCCGCCACTTTTTTAGTTTCCCCTGGAACACAGAAAGAAAAAAAGAGGCAGTTCTTAGAACTATTTCTGAGTGTGCATTCATGGAATGTTTGCTCATCCTATCAAAAGAAAGGTCAAAGTTTCAATTTTATGTATTTGAACCCAAACTAATACATAATTTTCAAGATAATTTTATTTCATTCAGAGATTCCTTCTGTGGGTCTACTGTATAACAATGTTAATAAATGTTATATTTTTGTCCTGCTTTTTTTAAGACATATGGTCAGAGCTGAAGTCTGCATTCTTTCAGGATTCCCTCTGCTAATTTAAATTTATACATGCACACAAGAAAGGAAAAGGTATAAATAAAATATTTAAGTAAATAAATAAAGACTCATACAAATACACAAGCCCAAAGAAATCTTGTTTTAGTATTCTGTCCCCCCCTCAATATGCTCCAAAATAGCAAAATAAAAAATAAAAACATAAAGATACACAAACCAAAGTGTAGAAAATGTTCAAAACATTGTGAATAAGCCTCTGAATGAAATGGGAAGTAATAAATTATAGATTATCCTGTTCTCCACAAACAAAATGTTTTATAAAAACAGATGCTTGCATACATATTGGTAACAATTAAAGAGGATTTGCTCTACACTCAGACAAGTCCTGTTTTACTCTGTTTTTTTCTGAATGAAGACAAGGTCAGGTTGTTTTTCATAACTGTTGTAGAGCTCCTTAGTAAATAAGTAAAACAACATCTAAGGGTAATATTTAGTTTGTGATACTAGATTTAGATGAAACAACAGATTGGTTTTATACTTGATTAAAGAGTTGCTTTAAAAAAAAATTAAAAGAGAGAAAGGTGACTGGAATAAAAGAAGGGTTGTGAAGCTGGAAAACAAAAACTATATCAAATAAGAAGGAAAAGATAGAAAATATAAATAAAAAGAGGCAGAGGGAGTTGAGTTGTGGAGGGATGGGAGAGGAGATGATGAGGCGAAGCGGACAAGGCGGTTTGTGGAGGAGGGAGGGGGTGATAGTCAGGGGAGGTGCAGGTCAGCGCTTTCGTTTGCATACTCTGGTTAATGAACAGCTGGTGTTGAGGAGTGTGTGTAAATGTATGCATGTGGCTGTGCGCCTGTGTGTGTGTGTATGAGGTTTGAAACAGTTCATTATCTCCTATTATTCTCTGCCTGGCCAGGGGTGACAGCACAACGATAATACCAGGGATGTTTAAACCACAGTAGCGGCATCACCTCAAGCAAAGCCTACACAAACACACTAGCACAAAGAAAGTTCATTTCAAAAGCAGCATGTTTGTTATGTTCAGCTGTTGATTTTATATAAGACTGAAACTGAGTCACGGGTAACCTTTGGAATTACTTTTGAACAAGTAATTCCAAAGTTGTGAATTAAAATCTAAAAGATGAAAGTTCCACCAGAATGGATATGGTAGATTAGATAATACATTTCTTCTGGTTAGCTGTGACAACTGGATTTGGTAATATACACAGTTGTGTATATGTTAGATAGCTACAATTTCCAATTTCCGAAAAGTTAATTTATTTTGCCCCTTTATACCAAAATAAAATTAATGGCACTAACCATTACCTGAAGAAGTCACTGGACTGGTGAAAATGGGGCATTTGTTAGTAATTGCATCTCTTAACTGATTAATTTCCCAATAATATTATTAGAGACACACCGATCCGTTACCTGGAATGTATATAAATTCTGACACTACTGTAATTAGCTGGATCGGATATCGGAGATCCCATCCAATACAATGTAGATGGAACTGTTATTTCCCTCTTTTTCTGCTTATTATGTAATAAACAACATAAAATATATTTATATCTGTGTTAATTGGTTACTTTAATTTTAACAATGTTTACATCAAAGCTTAAGCATTCACTCACATGGCAAGATATATGGTTCATTCATTCAGCAGTTGAATCTGATTGGTATCGGATATTTAGATATTCGATATGCTCAGTCAAGGTATCGGTGTTGGATTGTATCAGAAAACAGAGGATTGATGCATCTCTATATATCATGCTACATTAATACCGTATTGTAATGTTTCGGAACAGAGGACCCTGAATTCAGGCAAGACAGAGAGTGAAATAACTTAAAACATTTATTTAACCAAGCAGGCTGTGGATCTGCTATATTAGCAGCTATGGCATCTATAAGAGCGAAACACACACACAAATTAGTGAGCATAATCCGACGGATGATGATTATGAACGTCACTAACCTGGTTGGACATTTCAGACTGTGCCCAGATAATGAGGATGATTCCAGCCAGTCGGCTGGCAAAACGCAGCGGACGCTGCTAGAGATAGTTCCAGACGTGAAAGCCTAGAAGGCTGCAGAGTTGACAGGAGATCAGATCCAAGTAGATGAAGGAAGGCAGGATAATCCACATGGCGAAGACAAGAGGCAGATCCATGTTCAGTTCACAGAAGAATCCAATAGGAGTCCTAAGACAGACCAGGCAAACAGATCAGTCTGGGGCAGGCGGGCTCAAAGGTCCAATTACTGAAACGGGTCAGGATCAGGCCATCAGAACACTATAGAAACGCTAGAGAATTCTCTACACCAAAGTCGCAAGAATAATCTGGCACTGATGGCTGGGACCAAGGCGTTTAAATAGAAGCAGGATTAGGTGGATCAGAAAACAGGGCAGACCTAGACAGGTGAATGGAATGAGCAATCAAACCAGCCATCAGTACCAAAATCATATAGGTTAGTAAAACAACATCAGTTAACAAACACCATTACGAAGACCTCAAAAATATAGTAAATACCAGGAATAAAGTTGTGAAAAAGATTGAATCAGTGTTAAACATATCACAGAGCACTATTCAGTAAAAAAACTGAAATTAAGAGAGTATAGAAACTGCAGAGCTATCAAACTGACATACTTTGCCAACTCACACTGACAAGACAGAGATAAATCCAAGAAAAAATAAATACTTTTAAAAGCCACCGTAAGTCATATAAATTGAACAAATGAACTGCTTTATGACTAGAATAAAATGATGACAAAGAATGACCTTTGATTTTAGGCTTTGGATTTGTCCCATAAATTGGCTTAGACATTTAGAAAGGCTGATTATTATAGTCCACTTTTTGCAATCTGTGCAGCTGCTTTTTTAATGAAGTCCAAATATAGGTAACAATAAATGTCATGTAATAACCTAATTTAGGTTGTGCTGTTTTTTAATCAGGTGTATCTCATTTCGCTTTGAAACAAGGTGCCTCTATGCTTTTCTCTTTCACAAGTTGTACTTCAACACAGAGTTGAAAAGAAACCCATAAAACAGCAAATTAACAGTTTCAAGCTGTCATTTGCTGCCTTGCTCTTTTTACCCGCTTGTTCCCCACTCGCTAATCCCTGTCTTCTCTCACATTTTCTCTGTTTCTATACTGCCGTATGTTGCCATGTCACCAACTTCAGAGAGAAATGGCCATGAGTGCTTGTTCTCTATGCTGTCAGGAGGATCAAACATGCAGTACAACTTGTATAAATACTTGCGAAGATCAGATGACAACGACTGCAATGATTAAGCAAGGCCTTAAAGTCTTGGCAGCTGGTTTCTTTACAAGTTCTGATATTTTAATAGCATGCAGGCTCAGTATGGGCTACGTGAAATTCCAGTGACAAACAGACATAAAAAGAAACCTTTTTCCATTATGAATGTCCTTTATTTCTCATTATTATTATCTTTATTTACACATTAGCACACATCTGACCTCGCTAAAATAGATCTTAATTCTAAATATTGTTAAAATATTAAGCTTCTAAATCTTCCTATTGGCAAATTAAAACAGTATTGATTGTTTTGCTAACTGATAAACAGATCAACAAAGTCAGAATCAGTGCTAAGTCTGCTATAGTGACTCTACTGCTTGTTTAATTTTATCTGTATTTCTACTTAAGGAAAGAAGGTAATCACAAAAGCAAACCCATAAACAGTCTAATCATTCAATGAACTTATTTCATGCACAGTTGATTTTACGTAAATTGATTGACACCTGGAATGGGGGCAGGCAGTGTTTGCTCTCAACAGTCATAACTCTTTATGCGTCATAGGTAATAAGAAAGGACAAGGAAGGGACAAAGGAGGTGGGAAAAAGAGTATAGTGAGGTGAGAGCAAAAAGTCAAGAAGATTAATTCCCTGTGTCTGTGTTTCTGTGTTTCCTTTGCTTTGACTTGTCAAGCGAGACATAAAAGATTTGTGTAGAAAAAGGATACGAATCATCTTATTTACACAATAAATACAACTCCAGACCCTGAGGCTGGTTTTAATTGCAAATGCATGCTCACGGGAATCTCTTCCTCTCTGAGCTTTAGGAAGTGCACACGCCGACATCTACCTTCCCCTGGAAACCCCTGCACAGTCAATTATGATAATGAATCGTCAATAAATATAAAAATTTAATATGGTCCTTCTTACTCTGAGTGGCAACTAAGGACCTGCCTCCAAGAAAAGTTCTGCTGCGTGTGCAGATCTGAAGTGCATCTAAAGAAAAGTGGTTGTTTATGCCCATTTGAATGAAAGGTTTGATATGATATTTGGGGAAAAAATTGTCATGTTCCACAATCAGGGTTGGTTTAGTTTCAGAGGTGGCCTTTTAATACTTTAATTTTCACAATATGCAGCTCTAGAAACATTGTCTTTCATAAGAATTGCCTCCAGTCTTCAATAATCTGATAAAAATATCTCTGCTTTTAATCAATGAAGCAGAGAATAGTCACAACAATTTTAATCTGCATAGTTAATCAATTAACTGGTGTCTGTTATTATTCTATCTTGTGTGAAAACTTCATTTTCTTGTAGCAGTGTCCAATCATCTCTCTTCTAATTTTTACAGGTTGACTATGCAGTGATTGCTTCACAGGCGGGTGCTACACTCAATAATCTGCTGAGCCACGCCCAAGAGTTGGTAGCCAAACTGCGCTCTCTGCAGCTGGACCAAAGGGAGTTTGTTTGTCTGAAGTTCTTGGTCCTATTCAGCCTCGGTGAGTTTCCAGAAAGTGTGCGCTTTTGGTTAACTAGTCCTTCATTGGGATGCCATAGCAAGATTGACAAGACTATTAATTGATTGTATGAGTTTTAAAGTAGCAGAGTTCTGCTTTTCTTCTCCCTAATGCTGCCAACTGTTGGTCAGCTGGCTAAAAAATAAGACTCCTACCATTTGCCTTTACTCTAGAAAAACAGGAATTTAGCTGTTTGGAAATAGAAATACCTGGAATGGAAATGAAAGAAGTGAATCTCATTATTATTAATAAATGTGAAAGATAACATTTCAAAACAAGAGGTACATTTCCCCTTTGATATAATAAAAAAATCATTATGTGAATAATTAATTTCTACAGCAGGACGCTTTTAAAATCAGCTCAACAATGAGTTGTGTTTTACCTTTGTGAACAGCTGCATCACAAGATGTCATAGTAGGTTGACGGAAAATAGATGGCTAAATAATGAGGATGCAAGAGAGATATCAGTTTCATGGGTATATGTTGTTTTTATTTAATACTATGCTAGATAATAGACTTTTAAAATATTTTTATGAGGACTTTTAAGCATTTTCATTCAGACAAACTGACTTTTTACCTGATGAATGCAGCTGCAAGCAGTTCAGTCTGGGTCAATACATTAGTCTGGTGAGCAGTGAACCATGATTGAAGGCACAGAGATTGAAAGGAGTGATGATGAAGATAAATCAGGGTTTTAAACTTATTTTTTTTTAAGTATAATATATTTTGTGCTTTAATAAAAAAATACCTGCCCAGGATCATGTTTGATTTGCAGTCAAGGTGGAGCACCAGGGTTAAAAAAAAGCCCTAAAAACATTGTTAATCTGTTTACTTGCAGATCATTCTTGCATGTTGTGGCAGAAAGTATGGTTAATTTACAGCTCCTGGTAGGATGCATAGATCTTTTTTTTTAACCGTCTCCATTTTTTTCAATCCAATCAAATAAAGTACATAAAGTTATTGGTTAATACAGTTCTGCATGGTAAGTACACTCTAATATGGAGTGGAGGTTTTTTCTATTTTTATCCAAGCCACATTTTTTTACAAAGCAAGTCTAACAAAAAAAACTGCAAAATGCAAAATCATCCCAAAAAAACAAAACAAAGAGGTTTTAAAAACATGGACCTGTAGTGTGCAATTGTACCCCACTAAAAAGAAATATAAATAAAATCTGATAGAAAAATCCGGTGCTTTGGCCTCGCAGAGCAGTTCTCCAGCTTAACCGCCTACAGTACTGTTCTATAGAGGGTGAACTACTGAACAATTAGAGTTTTATAAGTTTTTTATTCCTCACCATCAGCATAATTTAATAACTGATCTATTTTATTAATTAGTGAGAGCATTATTCATGCACAGAGACTCTGGCTTTATCTGTAACTGTCATTTCAAAAAGAGAGAAGGGTCAATATGAAAACGTAGGAGTTTGGAATTTGGTAAACTTTTGGTAAATGAAACAATGTATAATCAATTAAAACTTTTTAAAAAGATGGCTAAAAACGGTGGGAAAATGTGTGATTCAAACATGGAATTGGACTGGAAAAGATCTGATTTTTTTCCTGTTCCCCGATAGTGACGTCAAGCGGGACTTAGAGTTAAACTTTAGAATTTTGGAAAGGAAAAGAGAAAGACTAGGGAGGAGAGAATAAAGTTGGAAATAAAAGAGAAATGGGAATTTGTATGAGGAACCTGTCCAGTTTGTTCTGGGATAGACAGGTGGGAGGGACTTGAGGTCAGGAAGAGGAGCAGAACTTTGGGTTTAGAGCAAGATAAGTACCTTAATGAGTTAAGGGACAAAGAGTAGAGTAAATATGACAGGATGTCCATGAGTGAGTGTGTAAAGGGGTGCACCTGTAAGTGCGTATCTGTATCCCAAACCTCTTACTGCCAAGGTCAGACGTTAGGAAAACCTCTTCTCCACATCGTTTCAAATTAGTCTGCCAAAAACCCAACATAGAGTAAAACATAGTCACTCAAACAAATGTGTTTAAATTCTTTGCTACAGGCACTAATGATGCTAGAAATGATTCAGTCAGCCCAGTGATTAGACCTACGGTGATAAGAGTATGATTAACATTTTCCTTATTTAGCTTCCGGTCCACACCAGTAAATAGGTTTACTTCACAAAGCATTAGTGTTCAGGATTTAAGCTGATGAAAAATAAATAAGCAGTGCACTAATGAACACCAGATACACATATGTATGATTAGGGGGAATTAATGTTTCTTGAAATGGAATTGGTAAAGAAAGCAATAGGAGTGGGGATCACTGCAGAGGGACTTTGTGTGTATGTCTGTGTGCGAGTGTGTTTGTTTTTGTTTTGGGAGTTTTCATAGGGCAGGGGTGTTTGCTTGGGCACAGGGTGTAAATAATTTGGCAGAAGAATCATCCATAATGAAAGGCCCACCTGAGGGATGTGTATCGCCCCCGGCAGTGCCTGTTCTCAGGCCTCCCGCAAAAGAAGACTGATATAGGCGCAGAAGAGCCAGCTGAGGGGAGCTGAGTAGGAAGGGAGGAGTCATTATTGGAGTGGAGAAAACGACACAATGAGAGCAAAATAATCCATTAGAGGTTAAAGAATATGTGAACAGTATCATGTATAGCTGACAGGAGATTTGAATAAATCCTGCTGTGAGAAGATGGTTTGTCAAAACATGCATTATAATGACCCACATGTTTGATCTGAGGATAAAGCCACCTGTTTGGTAATCAGTTAAGAAATATGGTTATTTGATATTAGGTCAGCCCTATAGTGACAAGTGAACTGAAAGATCAGATATTGTCTTATTCCTATAGAAAACTGGCACATCTCATTATTATCATATAACTTTTTAACATAAAACTGGAATTATCATATCATTTGTTTGTTTTTTGAAAGCTAAATACATTATGACCAGCCAAAGCAGGCCAGATTAATGCCTCACAAGAAGAAAAAAATCCTATTTAGCCTATTAACATGAATATGTTAAGTTTTTACATACACTAGGCTAAGCTTCACATAGAGGATGACAAGCCTCACTTGCCTCCGTAAAGGGCAGTGTTCCTGATTCGACGATAGGATAAACTTGATGAAATAAGGCACCCTATGAATAGAGACCAATCCCTAAGATGTTTTTTTTTTTTACATATGAGTACCAAAGAAAAAGTGTTTTTTTTTTTTTTTGAAAATGTGATTAATCTGTAAAATCTCTGTAAATCTATCATAACATTTCAGAAAAAGTACAACCTATCGACAGTCCAGTATGGTGGGGGTAAAGTAATGGTTGTGGTCGTCTTTGCAGCCTCAGGACCTCAAAAACTTTAGATTTTTTTAGATATTCTGGAGAAGAATGTCTTGCCAAAAGTCAGTGACCTTAAAGTCAACTACACTTTGGTTATGCTGTAAGACAATGATCCAAATAACACCATGAATTTGCCTTTGAAGAATGGATCCTTTAATATATAGCAAGTTATAGATGGTCCTTTCCTACGTAAATCCTTAAATTGTATAATTAATGCCATATTTCTCTGCTTTCATCTTGTCTCTTTTACTTTCATTTCTGCCTTTTGTGTTTTTATCTTGATTTTTTTTCAGTACCTCTCTCCTCTATTGACATCCTTCCTCTTACTCTCTCTCACTTCCTGCGTTTGTACAATCAGTCTCTTCCCCACTAGCAGAGGAGCTTTTAGTTAAGCAAGATGTCAATAAAGACAGAGATATAGATGTCAGCCTACCTGAGAGGAGACACTTGTCATGATCTGTGCGTGTTTGTTTTCAGAGTTAGACTCATTCTGTCTCTCTCTGTGCTCTTTCACTTCTTCAACGTCTACTGTGAAGGCTCTTAACCTCTGTCAAGGCGAAAGTGATGGCTCTCTGATCATTGATCTCCTAAGTGTTTATTGTCGTGAGAGCGATGATTATACAGTATGTCTTAGACATTTAGAAACAAACACTCAAGAGTTTGGGGTTCGCCCGGGTCAGAGCTCAGTAAAGGATCACTACAAGTCGTTTAATGTCAGGACTCTGTTAATGGGTCTTTGATTTCCTTTAAAAGGCTTAACACAGAGACTGACAAGTTGCCTGCAGTAGATGATAAAGCATCACAAGGTGAAGAACAGGTCACAAGTTTGCATTTATGTTGAAGAGGGTAAATGAAAGATGATTGTTTTCCTTTCAAAAGAAAAAAAAAGATTTCCAACTTTTTAAAAGCTGTTTCTTATCAAATTTTAATCTACCAGCTTTAAAAACACAAGATGTCAATTTAGGTATGCAAGTTTTTACCACTCAAATTATTAAGGAAAAAAACAGTTATTGTGCGTTTTCTACAAAATTTTAAAAGTGAATGACTGATTCATCATAAATCGTTTTCATAAAGCAGATGTGACAGAGGTCAGAACATGTTGAGGCCAAAACCTTTTAACCCTGCTTAGAGGGTCAGACCCCATCAGGTGTAATTGTTTCAGACAGGTGCTGCCAGGCCTCGTCAGCCAAGAGCAGAGCCAGAGGTCCTGGCCAGAACTGCATGGGGTGGTAAATTGCCCCAGTGAAAAGAGCACTGCAGTGAGCATGTAGTCCGAGAAAATGTTCTTTATGTAAACCTTAGTAAAAAGGAAGAAAATTCTGGCCAACATTTTCAGCAGACTTTTACCTTTTATATTGTAGATTTTGTTGATAAAATGTGTATGTTTATAATTTGGCTTTAAAATACTGTCCTAAAATCAATGCTACTGTAAGTCTTGAAATGCAGAACTTTAAGATTATAAAATGGTTTCAAATTAAAGGTAAAATCATCAAAATTATTCTGGTGATATGTTTACGTAAGGCCATCCTACGTGCTAAATCCCTATTTTTACCTACCATTGGTAAGTAAAAATAGGCAAACCTTGCTCTCGCATGCATTTAATAGGCGTTCTGTCTCGGAAGCGGGTACAGCGTTGTGCATTTACATTTTTTTTAAAGAGGTGAGTCTTTTGAAAAAAATCCCGTAAATCCTTTACAATGTCTT